GCGGGTTCGCCGGGTCTGCTCGTACACTCTTCATGGAAGGAAAGCTCGAGCGATCGAGATAGAAAGGCGACTATCGAGGCCGTAACGTCGTCTTGAAGATCAGCTTCAATGACAAGCTGAAGAGAGAAAGAAAGGAGAGGGACGAAATGCGCGCGAAGCAAATCCCTGTATTGAGAATCGGAAGTGGCTTCTTGAGGCTTTTAATAATTGACGTGCACGAGGAATATTTTGCGACGTGATTCCCGCGCGATTGTGTGCAAAATCGCAGGTCGATTCCGCTCGTCGCGATCGCGAACGAAGAGGTATTCGAGAAATTGAAGGCACCGCGCGCATGAAGCTATTAGCGAGCGAACGAAGGCACGTTTTGTGGCTCCCGCAGAATTGTATGCAAAATCGCGTCGGCGATATCGCGAGGCATCGACGCGATCGCGACCCGCTTACGAATAAAGAGGACGAGGTGGACTCGAGGGGAGAAACGAAAGAGAAGAGGCGAAAGAGAAGGAAACGCGGCGAATCGAGGGTACGCGCGGCGAGATTGCGGTGATTTCGCTGGCGCAACAGTGTGTGGAATCATGTGGCGACGTTGCACAACATTCCCGTCATCTCCGATCGGCATTTAAAGCATGCTCGTCCGTGCGTTTTAAGGGAATAAGATAATTCCAAGAAACGCACGCCTCGCGAGTCATACCTCCGGGCTGCAATAGATTTTGCGCAAAGATATCCAACGGCTATTATATTCGTCTGCGCCTGGCAATACGTCACGATAAAATTGCAAACAACGAATTCCTATTCGAAGAATTTTGCGGCTGATGAAATACCACTGTGACGGGAGAAATTTGCCAAGCTCACAAAATACCTCGCTTGCCGAGTTATTTACCGGCGTTCCTCGATTCCGTTGGCTTATAATAGACACGCACGCGATAAGGACGATGATAAACGTCGCTTCTTATCTCGAGAGAATTTTGAACGAAGCGCAATCTTCGTCGTTTACGTGCGAGGTGAAGGTATCGTGTTACCGCTGACATTTAATACCGTGTTTAGTAATAGCGGTAATAGCATAGATATTTTTACGTGTATTGACGTAATCGCGAGTTGAGATTGTGCAGTTAGTTGGCTCGAAAAGTAAAATTCGTTTTTTGCATACGTATAAGTATGTCGTCATAGAGGATGAGCAATCGCTTTGGTTAGAAGGTTCGAAAGACGAGCGGAATGCAGCTGGCAACCAGTCAAAGGCCTCATCCGCCTCCGGTGCCACCTCGACCGAGTCGGCAGGTGGTTGCCGAGGCCCTTAAGAGATCGCCAAGGCCGCCCTGTCCCACTAGGCAGGCACCACCGCCGCCAAACACGAAGCCCTGGAGATCCGATCAGCAACAAGTGCAGCAGCAACAACAACAACAACAACAACAACAACAACAACAACAATTGCAGCAGCAACAGGTGGACCCAACGGGTGGACGTACAACTGTATACGAATCTCTCAAGGAGTGCACGAAGGATTGCAAGGACGAGAATGTGTCCAACGACAGAAATCCACGAGATCGCAACCAGACGCGAAATACAGACACAATTGTTGAGGATAACCGGTCGGAGAATGGAAACAAAGTTACCTCGTCTCACGATCAACATCATAGACCTGGTACCGGTTCGGAAAAGCCTTATCCCACGGGGAACGTTCCAGTGAATATCGTGCGGAAGCGCAACAGTTTTACCGAGGATCAACGGCCGCAACGTAGGCTGGAGATCCGGAAAAACTCCCGCGGGAAAGACCTAGCCGGCGCTCTACCATATCATCGTGACCGATGGAAGAAGTTGCCTGATAAAGATCAGCAAAGAGAGAACAGTGTCGTCACCTCGACTGAGAAATTCGAAACGGCGCTGACGACGACGAAGCCACCGGTGGCTATCCGAGCTGTCAACGTGTCCTTCGAAGACGAGCATCGTGCCTCGTCTTCCAGTCCGGATTCCCCTCGAGGACGAGTCACAGTGAGTCACGCGGAAAAATGCAACGGCGATTCGGAGAGAGCAGACGGGCGCAACGCCCGGTCGACGCCCACGTGTCGATCGTGTCCTGATGAGCAACAATTGCAACAGCAGCAGGAAACGTTCGTGGCTAGTGGAAAGCTCGGTAACGGAGGTGTCAAGACTCCGTCTCCTATCGAGAAATCGACGAACATCCCGAGCGTTGACCGCGCTGCCACCACGTTGCTCGTCGTCGACGAATCAGAGCGTAAAATTGCGCCCAGCGACCAAGAGGACAGTAATGACAACGATAGCGACAACAATATCCACCGGCAGGACTGGCTGGAGGCGGGGGTACGTTACTCTTCCACGCAGATTACTTTGCATGGAGATGACGGCGACGACAACACCGACATCGTCGACGTGGGCCGAGTCAATGGTTATGATCATCGCGAAGAGGAAAGAATAACTGATCTTGATTTCATCAGGTATTAAAAATGAAATGAAATCGCCAGAGACTTTGCTCGCAATTGTCTCTACTGGAAATTAAAATTATAAAAGTGGATGGACCTATATTACAATACGAATGAGACTCTTAGCCATTCGGCAGAGAGTTTGAAAGTTTCTTATCGATGAAATAGATTATTTATAAGTGTCTTTTAAATGGCTCCTAGACGCTCAATTATTTTGTACAATATTATTGATGTGTCTCTTAAATATTTCAAAGCAAACATGCTGGAGGTATAATTTCCAAATAATACATAATATTAAGCGCGATATTAAATATTGTATAATAATATTGATTGTCTAGGGATCGCTTTTAAAATTAAGAGATTGATCGTAATAAGAAACTCGAAGCTTTGATTTTAGTTTTTATTTGCTTTGAAAATCAAGAAAGAAATGTTTTTTTCACAATTATGTGATAATTGTCTTTAGAGGATAACATTGCTTTAATTCCCAAAAAAATCATTCTTTACATTCTTTACATCTAATGTTCTAATATTTCCTCGTGGGTGACAATAATAATTCAGAAGAACTTGCAAGATAAGAAGTATTGATTTTCTAATTTAAACAATTTGAACTTTTTTAATTTTTGAGTGTGTTTAAAATGTACAATAATCTTCTTAAAGTGAATTTTGATACTCTTATTTTTAGAGCACAGCACTAAAAATAATGTGTTTGAGGAAAATATTGTCGTGTGAATACATTGCTTAAGTGTTCTATGACGTAACGTTGTCGCAAGGCGCGACGTTACTGCACACCAGAGCTAACGATGTAATAATTATCGAGAAGTCGCGATAGTTGCAGGGTCACTGTATTACGCGCATTGATCTAAATTCAACTATCCGGTGATATGAATGCACCGCTTTCTCGCGATAAATGCCGTCTCAGCCAACCGTAAAAACCAACCGCTCGTTACTGTCAACTAACGTTCAAAAAACACTTGCGTTCCTTTTTTTTTATTTTGTCCTCAGTTCAATCCTGGAACCTTAATTTGCCTCTAGTTTGCTCAGGTATAAAATTCTGAAAAAAATTCACAAGTTACACTAGTCTTTCGAGTATTGCTGTATAACATTTATGCGCACATGAATGTGCAATACTATGCAGATTGTGCAGTTATATAAATGAAACGAATAATTTAACGCATGTTATATAAAAAAAAAGGAGAAATATATTCTCGAGAAATAAATAGAGACTGCATGAATATTCTTTTCTTGCGTTACATAACTGATTGCTACGAAATTAAAAATCAAGGAAATCAGGTTAGCAAGTGCAGTGTTAGCAACATTAATTTACATTGTTATGTTAAATTGTTCTCCCAAGAATATTTAACGGTTTCCAGGAAAAAAATACAAAAAATTTCAAAGTATTATTGAAAGTTAAGAAAACTCATGAAATTTTGTTTGGAAATCAGGAAAAGTTATATGAAATTTTAGGGCGAGGAATTTGTGGCAGTCCTGGCTGCAAGTCGATGAGGAATTTATTATTAAGAGCATCGACTTTTTAAACTGATATCGCTATCTATAATTGCTATCGAATCGATATCGCTGCACTTGGCGTATCGAATCGATCTCATCTCAGCATGCGGAAAATAAGATGAGACGAGTAAGCGGAGCCGAGTCGAACGGATATCGATATCGATAAGAACGATTGAGCGATCGCACACTTCCGCGATGTGCACGCGATGATAATAACTGCAGGGCGATGTGAATCATTTGCCAAATCCCCCGCCTTCGTATGGGCAACCGACACTCATAAAGACAGATCGATTTTTATTTCGTAAGATGATCGTGTAACGGTATTCCCATTTCCTGTGGCTTCCATCGTACTCCGCCTGTGACAGTTTATGAGAAGACCGTACGATCCGCAGAAGTTTCTCCTCCCCCGAGTATCATGAAACTATTAATTTCATCCCTCTTATACACGGAGAAAACGAAGTAATGTGTACTCTAGAATTTTAGTAAATTTTCTGGAATCGACAGGTCTATACAGGAACAAGCGCTCACTTACGTAAAATTGACTTTATTTTTCTGATAAATGATTGTCGTCTAGGCATATTGTAAGGTACTTTGTACATTTCATAAAGCAAATTTTGAGAGTTGGTCGTGCTTACAATCTTAAAAATGTATTATGAGATTTACTTTACTGTAATAATCACTTGAATATATTTACTATAATGTTCTTTTTACCTTACATCTCCAATATTTTTACAACTAAAATATCTTGTTTGTCATAAGTTTGGCAAAAACTTAGCCGGAATATCTATATGCGACAACTATACTGTTACATATATTAAATATTAATAATTAACGTCTAGTAAGTTAAACGTTAGCTTCTTAACTTTGGGTGTTTTTCATTTGGTGACACAAGTGCCATTCTTTGTCACTCACTGGATGCCAAGAATGATATTTCTGTCACTAAATGTACCCTTTATCATTGAAAACACTTTGCGTTGTCCTGTTCATTGAAACGTGCTGAAAATACATCCCATTGTATACAGAATATAAATTATCTAAAAACCTCGCACTTGTATGTTCTAGTATTCAAGAAAGGATTGCGATGTCTTCCCTGCAAGGATTACCCCCGTTACCAAGAAGCTTGAGTGGCTT